AATCTCCGCCTATGCAATTTAGAGCCTCAGAAACTGTTTGAAGGTCAGCTACGACTGGGTTTCAACTCAACAGCATGAATTTGGCATTTTGAAGGATAATGGAGAGCAATGAATTAAGGTAGGATGAGTAGGATGATATGAAAAGTTCCTTCTTGGCCCTACCTCAGCTTTTTTCATTTCATGGCCTTGTTTCTGAAGATTTAAAAGTGAACATTTCCTTATCAATGCTGCTGCTACATTAATAACCATTTCTGTATACCTCATGTTAAGTATGGAAAATGATATCTATTCAATGAATGAAAATAACACAAAAAATTTTATGCTTTTGAACTGTGGAGTTGGAGCAAAGTACTGAATATCCCATGGACTGCAAAAAGAACAACCTGATATGTCTGGTTCAGCCAGAGTGCTCCTTGGATGCCAAGATAGCAAAGCTCCTTCTCACATACTTTGAGCATATTACTAGGAAAGGCTATTCCTTGGAGAGAGAAAGCATGCTTGGAAAGGTGGAGGGATGGCAAAAGAGAAGAAGATGCCCTACCAAGTGGATTGAGACAAAGACAATAACTATGGACTTGAGTGTGTCCAAGATTGTGAGATTGGCACAGGATAGAACGGGGTTTAGCTTGGTTGTTCACAGAGCCTCTATGAGCCATATTCAATGCCCTGGCACCTAACAACAACGTGCCTATTCAACCTCTATGCTGAGGAAATAATTTAAAAATCTGTGCTCTATGTGACGTCAAGATTGGAGGACGACTCACCAACAACTTGTGTTATGCAAATGGCACAAGTTTGCTTGTAGAAATAACATACCCAAGATATTATTGTTAGGGGTCATAGGATCACCAAGGTTCAAAGGGTCACTGTGAGGCATAGTACACTTGACAGCATCTAACAACAGCAACATCATGCTGGGTACGGAATGGCACTGCCAACCCAAAGACAGGCAGTTCAAATCTATTAGCAGCTTCTTCTGAGAACAATGGACAAGCTCCTCCCAGGTGATTTGTTGTTGTTGTTGTTGTTGTTGTAGTTATGTGCCGTCGAGTCGTTTCCGACTCATAGCGACCCTATGCACAACAGCCCTAAACCCCGCTCTATCCTGCATCAACCGCACCGCCTCT